ACACACACACACACACACACACACACACACACACACACACACACACGGGCATGAGTGGAATTGTATTTATATGAGAGGAGTGGGGTTGTGGAAAAGGGTGAACTTCAGGAGTCTTCCGATGGAAGAAACATTCCAGCTCATTGGGACATCTACGAGACTTCGCAACTGATCCGCTTGGAAAACCAAAAATCAATATACATGCACACACATACATACACACACACACACATACACACACACACGCACACACACACGCACACGCACACACACACACACACACACACACACACACACGCACACACACATACACATACACACACAAACAAACACAAATAAACACACACACATGCTCACACACAAGCACTGTGATTGCTGTGATTGAACTACTCACATAGAAATGCCAGAACTAAGACAGCCACCCATGATTTTAGAAACCTATAAAGCTATTGCATAACTTACACAATCCTCGCTCTCTCACATTGACACACCGGCCCACTAATCGTTTAGAAAACCAACCGAAAATGATTATAACAGGTACATCATTTCTTCCTTTTCAGACGCGATAAATGTTACCGAACCAGTAAACATATTAACCCCCGGACCAATGTTATGCCGACCTATTCACGAATGTATCATTTGACACTAGAATTCGATCTGCTGATAGAAAAAAAGGACATCTATTATCTGCCAATCCCAGCAATATGAAAACAAAGGATCTAGATTATCATTTGAAAAATCCCATCCCCGAAAAAAATCCCAAATAAAATTAGCAAATACTTCCGTTGCCAAGTGACATTAACATCGTCATGCTAATTACAGAGGTGCACAGTGTAACCCCATTTGAACACAATCCATCCCTTTAGCACACAAGAAAACAATATACAGTATTGATTGTTTGATTCCAGCACAGTTTAGTCAGTTTTTGATGACTTATAGAAATTCCTATAATTTGTATTAATGACTCTGTTTTCTACTGCTGCCTGCTAGCCTACTATTTCTCATCCTCCTCTCCATCTTCTTCCTCCACCTCCTCCTCCTCCTACTACTACTACTACTACTACTACTACTACTACTACTACTACTACTACTACTGCTACTACCGAGTACCCCTTCTAAGAATTGTCTATGATACCTGCCTTTTCACGGACACAACTTGGACCTGGAGAGGGATTCGAACCGCCCATTTTATGGTTGCGATTCCACCAAGCTATCCTCTACAGTACAAACGCTACTATTTCATCACAATGTATCCTCTTATTCATTCTATCAGTCCCTTTTCCCGCTGTTCGTTCAAAAGGATAACATGTATTAAGACACAGGATTCACAGAACAACTATTCTTCTAATCTGTTTAGGTTGGCTGTGAACAGATTTGCTGGGATCTGTGAACAGGCAAACATTGCTTGGAGCTGTATCGAAGATGTTCTCAGTGTGGAAGACAGAGGTGTGCAGACTAAAATCGTTCGCACAACTCTCACCGCCGTTTTTGCGGCAGTGCGATATGAATGCTCAGGTAAGAGAAGAGCATAGAGCAACGGAGTAATAATTATGACAACGTATTTGTGTATACAATGTTAGACCCTAAAGATTGGATGATACACTTGTCATTGCGTGAGTAAAAGAAGTAGAGGACACATCATATTTTGGAGGTGGAGGAATTGGTAAAGGAGAGGGGGTTTGGGGGGGGGGGGGGGCAAGGAGGAAGAGGACTAACAGCTGGAGAGTCTCTGCGTGTGTGTTGGAGGGGGGGATACCTGGAAACAAAGAGTTAGAAAATAGCAAATAATGCAGGGGGAAGAAGAAGAAGAAGGCCTCCAAGAGGTGCACCGATACCGCCTACACATACTGGAAATCAGAGAGACCCACTTGAGCCAGTCTGGACAGAAGCGAATGAAAGAGGGGGAGCTTTTCGTTTATTCAGGAAATGACACAGAAAATGAGTATGGATGATCATATCCAAAACAGCTAAAAAGACATTCAGGGGCTAGGAAGGGCACGGTTCAAGGATAATCATGGCCTCTTTTTGGAACTAAGAAAAAAAACCCTCAAGGAAAGAGATGTTGTAGGAAGAAGGCCATAAACATGAATATCATACAAGCGTATACTCAACCAATGATGCAGAAGAGGAGAATAAATGTGACTTCTACAGCCGCCAGCACAGTGGGATCGATAAATGTCCAGGTAAGGAAATCAACATTTTCAAATGATACCTAAATGCAAAGGTAGGTACGGACAATACTCACTGTGAGGAAATCATGGGTAGACACGGCTTAGAAGAGGCCAATGACAACGGAGAAAGATTCCAGAACTTCTGTGCATTCAACAACTTGGTTATTGGAGGAAAACTCTTCCCACATAAACGGATTCATAAGGCCACTTTAGTCTCCCCATATGGAACAACGGAAGACCAGATTGACCATTTTTGCATTTCTTGAAAGTTTAAACGCTCACCGGAGAGCGTCCAAGTATTACAAGGAGCAGACATCGCATCAGACCACCTTGATCATTGGAAAGATGAAACTGAAACAGAGAAAGTATGCACAAATCACAACTGGAAGTCGTCAA